CGATGATTAAAACAGCACCGTCAATTGTTTCCCTTGCACAAAAAATCGGAAAGTAGTAGAAGAACTGGCTAACGAGCGAACGTGTTGCCTCGAGGTAAGACTCCATGCGTGCTTTACCAACATTTCTAATAAATTAGGCCGGCTGACGTTTTGTTTCTGAAGTGAGGTTGAGTGGTTTTCTCGGATGTTAAGACGAAACATTAATTTTTCAATAGTAACAGCAACGATACTATAACGGCAGAGAAATGATATCGCGCAATATCATGCAATATATTATATCAAAAGGGACAGAAAAGTCTCGCACGAGTTCACGCAATTTGTGACATAAAACGACTCGTCCGATTCTCATCGGTGGAAGAAATGCGATTGAGGTTGAAACATGTTAAGTATATCGTGTGTTTTTTATTAATCGACCATCATACGATCATCAGCCGCTGTGATCAGTGACAAAACTGACAAATCAGATAGGGGCAATAATCCGATTCATTCGTTCCTGCGCAAAAATCGTGTCACGCCGTTAATATTTCGTCGTAACAGGAAATACTATCAATATCAAAAATAATTTCATCGCCGAATTTTCATTGGTCGCACACCATCGTTTGTGTGAATATTGATTTGCTTTATCTTTGCGAAGCTTTCTATCGATGTGGGTAGAATATGGCGAATTAACAAATGGCACTTTCTGTTGTAACAATTCCCGAGAGTACGCCCCCTGGCTTCAGTCGCAGCTTTGTTCCAAGTTTATTTCAGGCATTACGCTCGTATTTATTTCAGATACAGAAATATAGCCTCACAGGAATTATTGTTAATTGAATATTCATGTGTCGTATTATTCTGTAGCGCAAGATGTGCCGATGACGGAAAGAGAATTACGCAAGGGTCAGTAATAATTTCTCGCTAACTTTCGTTAACACATTCGCGACCAACGGATTTTAGAAATACTGTCTTTTAGAAACACTGTCTCCAATAGCCGATGATATTTTTCCATTTAATAACTGTGTCGAGATAGTATGATTTTCGTCAAGAATTGGCATCACTTAGAGCTTTTGACATTTTGTATATTTCCAATAAAATCGAAGCATTTGAACGAAATTCAATTATAAATTTTATTAACTATTAAACTGTTACAGATATACGTATTAATAATTTATATATTGCTGTACGTGGTATATAAATTATTATTTATTATTATCGAGTAGTTATTTACTGCGACGAGTGATAGAAACTGTGTAAATATTATCTAAAAATAAAAACATGTATGTACAACTGTACATTCTTCCCTTTTCGTTAATTTGTTCTTCTTTTTAGGCAACAAATCTGCAGGACAAATCTGTCCGATCTGTTATTGTATGCATCACTGTTTTATACGTTTAGCATAGTCGCTTTTTATATTATTCTATAATTGGCTTCATCGATAGAATGATTTTTTCGTTTACAATCGAAGAACTCAATAGTAACGTAGGTCTCGATCAATGACGCTGCTATTCTTTGGCTACTAATTGTAAATAGAGATATTAAATGTCGCAGTGGTTGTGTCATCAGTCTCGAATGTGTTAACAATTAAAGTTGCATACCTTATCCCACTGGTTCACGTTGTTTGACAAATTTTAGCGCGAGCGTTGCAACCTGATTCGGACGAGCCAACGCTGAGGAAAGGTACGATTCTTCTTGAAATTCCGAGTGTTCGTAACAAAACGTGGCGTCGTGATCATTCGTATCTATTGTAGCAGTTAAAACAGACAAAAGAACGGAACCGAAGCCGGAAAAGAGACATGAATCAAAGCGGGAAAAAGCGGAAACGAAAGAAACGAAAGACGAAGCGGCCAAAACGTCGATATTGGAACCTGCGAAGGAGCCAGAAAAAGAGATTCAAGCTGAACTGGAACCTGTGAAAGAGCCTGAAGTTATATCAGAAATCGCAACACAACCTGAATCTGTATCTGCGAAGGAGCCTGAATCTGTGAAAGAACCTGAACCTGCGAAAGAAATACCGAAATCCTTGAAAAGAGCCAAACGTGCGAAAGAACCGGAGCCTGCGAAGGAAGCACAACCTGCTAAGGAATCAGAGTCTGCAAAGAAAGCAGAACCTGTTAAGGAATCAGAGCCTACGAAGGAAGCAGAACCCGCAAAGGAGCCAGAGCCAGTGAAAGAACCAGAACCCGCGAAACAGGCAGAATCTGTAGATGTACCGGAACCCGTAAAAGAACCGGAACCAGAAACTGCAAAAGAGGCTGAACCTGCGACCAAGCCAGAATCCGAGCTCACGAAGGAAGTAGAAGTCGCGAAGGAGCCTGAATCACCTGCCGTAGGATCAGCAAAATCGCTAGAATCGGAAAGTGTGCAGCAGTCAGAATCAGAAGCGGTTGAAGAACCGGTATCTGGGCTAGAATCCAAACAAGAACCTACACCGGAAACGAGTTCAGAACCTCAAACTACAGAAGCTGTAAGTCAGTCGGAGAAAACAGACGAGGAGGCAACGAATGAAAACGGTATGTTGACCTGAAAAAGAAGTTGCCTAAGATTTAAAATGTCGTGGATAAGCATACCGAACAAGCTGGCGAGTATAAAATACAAGGACATGATTACTATTGTTTACCAGTTTATTCTGTGTTGCATGATATCCGTACGTTTCGTAACGTATATATAATTCCTTGTTTGATCTCTGAAAATGTCGTGTGTATCTATCACGCGTGAAGATGAAAACGTTTCATTCAAGACTCATTAATCAATGGAACACACTTCGTTAATAAGTAATTAATTTCAGTGAAACAAGACAAGGAGGCAGCGATCAAGAGAATAGAGACATATCTTGTTAAAGCTGCTGAAGAGGCAAGGTGAGTAAACCGTAGTAAAATTGGCACGTGTGAAAATCTTATGTAACAAATTGACGATTTAAAATAACAGTATTGACCGCGAATCGTTCGCGAAACGATCATAACATTGAACTCGGCTGGGTAACCTAGTAATCGATTTGTAACTGATACGCATGCCAAAATTTCAACTCCTGTTCAATCGTTTTCAAAGCTATAGGACACAGGCATCTCATACTCGCATACTTGCACAATGATTGAATATCGAGAACGTTTAATTCGTTTCATATCGATGATTTCTTACAGGAGTGAAGAGGAAAGGAGACAAGCAGCGGAAGAGGAAAGAGTGAAACTCGAAGTCGACGAGTTAAAGGCATGGGAAGCATTGAAAGTAGCACAGGAACGAGTAGCTCATCTCGATGAAATTGTCGAGCAAGAGCAAGCTGAAGCTCAGAGGCAAGCCGAGGAGGAGAAACTGGAAGTTCAACGATTGGAAACCGAAAGAATACTGGAGGAAGAAAGGTAACCCGTGCAATCTCAGGCCTCTGAGAAGAAAACCACGTGCCCCTAAGTTGAATTACACCTACGATGTAAAATATATAATTTCGCGTATTTAGGGAAATTGCAGAAGCCAAAACAACGGCTTTGTTGAAACAACAGGAGCAAACGATCATAGAGGAACACCTCGAGAAGGTTCGTCAAGAGGAGGAAAAAGAAGAGAGGTTAGCGAATGTTACGTTTGACGACGTAGACGAAGTGAAAGACATCGATCATTCTTGCGACGATGTGGTCACATACGATATCACTGATCAAGAAAGGGAAGAAAGGCCTTATGATCCAATTACAGACGATGATACGAGGGTAAATATCAATTTCAACAAATATTACAATGAATAATGCATGATATTAATATTAATATTATATAACGTTAATATAACATTTTTTTTTTTTTTTTTTTTTTTACGTGGAGGAAAT